ACTACCTATCACTTTCAATAATTTCTTTCAGACTTTTACATCAAATCAACTTCAATTATTACATTTCGAATATAATTTAATTACAAACTCAAAGTCATCTAACTAATCAACTCTATTCAAAATAATTCACTTTAATCAACCAAATTGGATCATAACTCATTCGATTCATATCCAATCACGTCCTTAGAGATTGAGTCGAGATCGAGGTCGTAATCACTAATATTAAACCATAAGCAACTGAGTCTACCTCATTACAAATCATTCGAGTTGTGAGCCGAATATCAATCTATCCCCTATATCTGATTTATCGAGCTACTGCATTGGATGGCACGTCAGCATTCTTGGTCAAAAAATGTATAGTCTAATAGTCACCAACGGTTAATGAAACTAGGTAACAAAAATATGTGATTGGCTACAAAGTATTGAATCTCAATCTCAATTTAATGATCTTGATAGTAAAAACTTATGTCCCCATTTTATGCTTCATTTTATCTTTTTTTGTAATAAGCTTTACCTTACAAAATAACTTATATTTCACTCGTACCGTGTTTATTGATTTTGACAAGCCATTTTATGGTACTCGGACAAAGGGCTGCCATGGTTTCTGGAGACGCCTTTAAATCACGGTCCACCTTAAAAGCGCACTTCAAAAGTAGCAATTTTTGCAAATTAACTTGGACACAAATAGTCATATATGTTTAGAATTGAAATTTAAGAGAGCGGGTCGAGTTTGAGCCCTTATTAACGAAGCGAACTCGAACGTTAACAAGTTGATTTATACTAAAAATTTTATGAAAATATGCAAAAACTTCTATTTTTCAAGTCTAATAATGAACCAAGCCTTAAACAAGCTGACCCGAGTTTACGGGCAGCTCGTTTCGCTTAATAGCTCCGAACACAAAGGAGGGACAAAAATGCGTTTATATTTCATTCAATGCACAAAATGAACAAAAATGTGTGGTGCAACTACATCATTTGTCTAAATAGTAAATAAGCCGTTGGTTCGAAGTAATTGAATAACCCAAAATGTAGCATCCAAATTTAGCGAACACAAAACCAAAAGTTGTATATTTGATTAGATTAGATTCAATTGGAAGTTCAAGAAAACAACCATCTCTCTTCAGAGTAAGCGAAAAAGGTTT